GCCGCCTCGTCTCCGTCCTCGGGCCGCGCCCCCGGCGCCGCGCCCGCCGCCGCCAAGAGCCACCGCTGCCCGTTCCTGGGCTGCGCCAAAGCCTACTACAAATCCTCGCACCTTAAGTCCCACCTTCGGACGCACACAGGTGAGCTGAATCTGGGACGCCCCCTCCCCCCTCAGGGACCCCGAAACTGCGTGGCGCGCTGGGGGCGGGGAGGGGGGCGCGCCGGAGCCGCCGCCGCCGCGCCGGGCGGGAGGAGGGAAGGCGGAGGGCGGTGCCTCGGTGGGTGGGGCGCGCGCGGGGGGCGTGGCGGCCACGCGGTCCGGGCGCGCGGATGGTGGCTGCGGCGGGGCTGCGCACATCGGTGCAGACTGGACTGGGGGTTCGCGGCGGGATTTGGCCTGGCAGGCCAGCCCAGCCATCCTGTCTTAGGAATGGGCGCAGTGGATGATGGAGCCCTCCTAGGCCGCGCCCGGCCCTGCCTGTGTGGAGCCTCAGTTTTCTTATCTGTGAAGAGGCGGAGCCGCGTCGCCGCTTCGGGTGGCCGCGCGCACTCGACCGGGAGGGCGGCTGGGCATCTGGCGGCGGGCCACGGGGGGCGCGGCACGTTTTCTCTCCACTGCTCTGAGCTTCTGCGAGGCAGAGGGCGGAGCTGGGTGCGCGGGTGGAGGAGTTTAGTCTGGGGAGAACATGGACTTGACCGGGGGACTCCTGAAGGCTCCGTCCTCACCACGTTGCCCTAGCGCGTTTTTCCCCCGCCACCTGAGGAGGGAGCTGGGAAAGTGCGCAGGGCTGCAGGGAGTGGCTCAAACGACACTAGCACCTTTACTACACAGCCCCGGCATAGACGAGAGCCTGGAGGCTGGCCAGCCCTAGTTACCCGACCCCGTTCCCTTGTGGGCTACCGCCTCCTGCTGGCTTTGTGGGTCATCTCCTATCCCCTCGTGGGTCTCATCCTCTTCCCCTGTCGCTCACTCCTCTCTCTGTCGTCCGTGGGTCCCTCCTTCACATTACCCTGAGAGTTCTCTCCAGGCTAGGAATTTGGGCACTTTGGTGGCCAGCCTAGGTTTGGGCATTAGAGGTGCAAGAAAGGGAAAGGAAGCCGGCGTGAGGGGTCTGGAAGAGCGCTCTAGTGTGGGATGGCCCCAGGCCCCAGTTTCCTCCGTGGGAAATCCTCGCTACTGCCTCTGTCTGCGAGGGTTGCTGTGGAGGCTGTTCACACACGGCCCACTGAAGGCTGGAGTAGCGCCGCCTAGAACAACAAGATCCGAGGCTGTCTTTGGGTCGTGGAGCCACACTGGGGGGCCTGAAGGTGGGGGCTGGAGAAGCAGGAGGGGAGAGGAGAAGCTGGTCCCCTTTGGGAGGCACCCCCCCCGCACCCAGAAACAAACCCCCCCCCCACCCCACCCCACCCCATCCCCGCTATAGGCTCGGATGCAGGATGACTGAGGTGAAGAGTGACCTGTCCCCACCCCGGATGCCCATTGGAAAACCAAGGGCCCATGTGGGAGCCCAGTGGGGAAGGAACCATCTTTCTCACCACTGTACCCCCAGCCTGCCCCCACGTCCCCAAGTGATACTTGCAAGGGGCATGGCCCCAGACTCCTCTCCCTGCCTATCTGCTTGGTTTGTTTTTCCAGCCCCCTTCTAATTGCTGGGGGTGGTGGTGAAAGGGGTGGCCAGACCACCTCCCATTTTGGCACTGAAGGGGTACGCCTAAGGCTTTCCTAGACCCCTTGGAGCATCTGTGGGCCCCAAGTGATTGTGGTGTGGCTCCTAAGCTAGTGGAGAAGGAAGGACGCCGTGCTGTGTCCAGGAGCGGCAAGGCCTGGTTGCCAATGTTTGAGGCTGAGACAGATGGTGGCCCCGCAAAGTGAGGAGCAGCAGGGCACACCCCCTGGCGATCCTTGGTGGCTGTGACTACCTGGGCTTCCCCGCATCCCTCCCAGAGCCTCTTCACAACAATGAATCGGAGCTGTGACTGTCTAGAGGGCTTAGGACACTGCTTGCTCTCCATTTATTCACCTTTTTGCCTCAGGCCATTAGTGTCTCTTGTGCCCCCCCCACCCAAGACTGAGCCTGTCCTAGAGCCCCAGGCCCACTGTGGTGGCCTGTGCCCTCCCAGGGCACAGGAGCCTGGGTCAGCAGGTAGCCAGTGCCTTGCCAATGCATCACTGGAGTCTGCAACTTGCCTCTGGGCAGTCCCGGGAGCAGACTGGATGAGGAGCCATAATTAGGCACCCACTATCTGCAGAAACCAAAGCCCTAATGCCCTCAGGAGGGAGAGTCCTGCCCCTCCCCCCTGCCTGGGGCAGGCTGTTATCTTGGTGGAAAAAAAAACACCCATTGCCTTCAAGTGGATTCTGACTTGTGGGCCCCAAGTGTTAACAGAGCAGAACTGCTTCATAGGGTGTTTGTGGCTGTAACATTTATGGAAGCCGACTGCCAGGCCTTTTTTTTTGTGGCACCACTGGGTAGGTTCGAACTGCTGACTTTTTGTTTAGTAGTGAAGCATAGACTGCTTGTACCACGCAGAGACCTTTGTCTTGGCAAAAGGGAACACTGAATCTCAGCCCGGCCCCATTTTACAGAGGAGCAAATTGAGGGATGGGGTCGGGTCCAGGTTGGAATGGAGTGAAAGGTGCCCCCAATATCATCTTGACCCTTTTTGGCTCAGGGGGGCAATGGGATTTTCACAGGGCCACCCAGCTGTGGGGGGGAAAGGGTATTCCAGAGAGGCACTGGCACCCCACCATGTATGGCCCACAGCTTCCTTGCTCGCTGGCCCTGGCCGGCTTACTCCTGCGTGGGGCGGGTGGGAAAGGACTTTGGAAGCTGCAGGAGATGTTGACGCTGTTGCCGTGGATACAGAGTGTGAGCTCCGTGATAGGGCGGGGGCGGGAGGGAGAGCTAGCTGTCTCCTCACGGCTCTTACACCACCTTTCCTTCTGAACACCCCCACAAACACTGTGGCCCTCAGTGGCACATGGTCCTCCCTGGACCTTCTGGTAGTCTCTGACCCCCTTATGCAGAGAAAGGGCTCAGACCTGGAAGGGTCCTGAGGGGTATATTAGTGCAGGTGTCTCCCCCTCAGCCCTGCTGACATTGGGGCCGCATTGTTCTCTGGGATTGGGGGCTGTCTTATGCACTGTGGGACTGTGAGCAGCATCCCCCATCTCCACCCACTTGGTGCCAGTTGCACCCACCTCCAGTCATGACACCCACAGATGTCCTCAGACATCACCACGTGACCTCTGGTGAGAACCCCTGGTCTAGTCTGAACTCCTGTTTACTTAAGCCTGAGAAACACGGTTTGAGCACCTACTATGTACTGTAGGGACTCCAGCGATGGACAGACTGGTCCCTGTGCCCCAGGACTCAGAGAACTGGAGGAAGAGAGAGTGACTGCTGCCGGGAGGATGGGGGGTCTTGACTAGACCTAAAGTAGCAGGTTGGGCAGGGCAGGGAAAGGTGTGTCCCAGGAGACGGACTAGCATGCTGAAACCTCAGCGCTCTGGGTGGGGGCAATGTGCCTGGGGTTTGAGGATGAGGTGGGGAGGGGGCAGAGCAGGTGAAGGTGAGCTGAAGGGTTCCACTTAATCCCAAAGGCAGGTGGGGCTGGGGGGAGGCTTGGCTTTACAGAGGAAAATCCGGTTATGGGGAAAGGATTATGGGATCCTGGCTTTGAGGAGGGTGGGTCTACCCCCTTCTGAAAGGGAGAGGGTAGGCGGGGCCACCAATTGGGTCACAGCTCGAAGTCCTGGGATGGAAGGGTACAGGAGGGGAGGAGAGGGGCACCTGGGGAAAAGGAGGCCGAGAAAGAGGCAGCTGCCCCCCTTCAGGTCCAAGTTTCCACCACCCCCAAGCAGAGGCTGTTAGCTCCCTGAGCGTCAGGGAGGGGGCACAGGATGGGGGAGACATTGGTGGCTTATCTGGGGGGCCAGTGCCAGGCCCTAGAGGATGGAAGGGAATGGGGGAGCATGTCAGCCTCTTGCTAGTACCCAAAGACTATTTCTCACTGCTGCCCAGCTGCCCGCCAGACCCCCACCACCAATGGGTGAGACGCCTATGCCCAGGGTTGTGGGGGCTCCTGTCCCCTCCAGCTGTTGGGTGTTGGTCCCTCAACATCGTAGGGTGATAACCACCTCAGTCCCATGTCCCATCTCCTGCCTCCTACGCTCCCTGATAAAGGTGGCACAGGCAGGCTGGGAGTTGGTAAGTGATACCAGGGCTGGGTGGGCCGATCTGGGCTGGAGATCTTTCAGCAACCCAGTACACAGGCTCCAAGGGCCTTCTGGGAGTTTCATCCCCTTCCCCCCAAGCAGGTTCCCAGGAAAGATGCCATTTGGGGTGGTGAGCTGGGATGGGGGTCTGCAGGTCGGTCATGCTGCCCCCCTTTTAAATGAATGGGAGTAGTGTTGAGCACTGGGGGGCGGGGGCTGTAATCAGCATTGCAGTGGAACACACAGAGCAGCCCACTTCAGCTGTCAGTTGCCACTGTTTCCTCAGAGAGCCAAGGCTTGGGTGTCTGGGCCTCTTGGCTCTCTCCACACCTAAGTACTAAGCACCTATTGCTTGCCAGCTCCATGCTGGGGACCAGGCAAGGGCAGAGCACTGGCCCTCACAGCTGACAGTCAGGGTATAGGGTATGGGGGACAGGGTTCTAGCAGCAAACCCACAAAGATCTTAGAGGCCAGGATGGGTGACACCAGGCAGAAGAGCTGATTAAGGGGACAGCCACGGAGGGCGAGCAGACCACTGGCATCATGGAAACTTGCTAGGAGATGATGCTGATCAGAGAATAGAGTCGGGCGAAGGGGATCTGAGAAGCTGAATAAGGGGGGGAGGGGCTGCTTAGCTTTGACCCTGAGCAGGATGGGTGAGAGGGCCTGCTCTGTCCACCTGGGGACCCTATTGCCTGCAGCCCAAGCCATCCCCGCTTTTGCAGTGTCTCTTGTCCCCTGAGGAGCTCTGGTGGTGCAGTGCCTAAGGCATTTATTTGGCTGCTAACCAGAAGGTTGGTGGTTCAAACCCATCAGCCCCTCCTTGGAAGGAAGATGGGGCAATCTACTTCTGTAAAGATTTACTACCTCAGAAACCTAAGGGGGTCGCTATGAGTCAGAATCCACTTGATGGCAGAGTTTGGTTTGGGGTTTTCTTGTCCCCTGAGCAGTGGAGGTGGGGGCACCTCTTCCTTTCCTGTGGCCCTCTCCTGTGGAGTCCATCCCTTGCTGCCCACCCCCTGCCCCAGGGGATGACTTTAGGGGGTCAAGGTGAAGGTCAGTTCCTATGCTCTGTACCCCTGCCCTGCCATCTGGCCTCCTACCTTGGGTGAGCCCTCCCCCTCATTGAGGCCAAGCAGGCAGAGCCCCACCACCACCACTACCACCATGGCAGGGCCAAGCTTCCAGGACCATGTGGCCTCTAATTTCCTGAGTACTTCGCCAGGCAGCCCGGCCCACTGTCCCGATCTCACCCTCTCACCCAGACGCAGCCTGAGTCAGAGGGTCAAGTTCACCGCGGCCCCGCCCACCTGGCTCCGGCAGTCCTCACCCACGCCCCGTCCAGCATCTGGAGTCCCTGCCCCGCCCCGTTGTACCCCCAAAATCACGTAAAAGCTTCTCCCAGTGAGGGCACCATGGCTGGCGAGACCTGGCACTGGACAGACCCAGGGGTGACTGGCTGCACGCCCCGCACCCACCACCCACGTGCGCGCACCACCCACGTGCGCAGTGCGATCCGCGGAGGCCAGCGGGGGTGGAGCAGGCGAGCATGTAGGCCGCCCAGGCGACCCTGGACCGGGCCCCTGTCCCTGGCTGGGAGCGGCCACGTGAGCTCAGCTACGTGCGGCAGCTGTGTTCCCAGCGGCTGCACGCGCCACCCCTTTCAACCTGCTCCCTGCGAAGTGGAGGGTGGAGGGGGCGGAGGCGGGGAGGCGGGCTGGTGCCCCAAAAGGGGAAGTGAGCGAGCTGCAGGGCGAACCGAACCGGAGGGAGAGGTCCCCTTGCCTTCTGCATCCACCCTGCAAGATGGCGACAGGACTGCCTGAGCCCTAGGGGGTGACGGCCACTGTCTGAAGCCAGCAACCTCTGCCCTGTGACCAGGCCCCCCCTACCAGACTCAGGTCCCCCGGAGCTGTCAGTTTTTAGTGGCCACCATCTGCGGTGGAGGTCCTTGGTAGGGAGGCTGCTGGGAGCCTCTTGGTTCTGTAGGGGATGCGTTCCCCTGAGGCCCCTCCCCCAGCTGTTGCTGCCCCTGCCTTCCGGGTATCAGGCAGGAGGGGGCCAGTCCCAGGGATTTTTAAGCCATTGATGGTCTTAGGGACACTGAGACGTTCTATGGTTGTGGCCTTCTCCGACACCATCCCCAGAGGTGGCACCAGCCCCTCTCATTGCCTGAGGTCACAGCCTCCTGGGGCCTGTCCACCCCCCAGCTGTGCGTGTGGCCAGAAGCCATCCCTTAGGACACTTCTTTGGGGGGGCCTGCTGGGCCCTGATTACTGTCTTCCGTTGGTGTTGGGGGTCTCTGGCCTGTAGTAGGGCTGGGTGGGAGAAGGAGGGTTTCTTTCTTACTTCTGGGGTCTGGGTGGGGGATGATATCACGGGATGCCTTGGCGGATGCTGGCACCCCCACACACACTTCCTCTCCCTGGCCTCCCCTCCCCCTCAGGGCCACCCATGAGAGCTTGTTGTATGAGCACGGAGATGTCACCGCGTTGCCCCTAGAATCTAGGCACGCTCCTCCCCATGGCTCTGGGCTTGTCCCATGCCCCTCCTGCCGGCTCCTGGTCTGCTCTGCGCTCTCCCTCCCGGAGTCCCTATTTGTGGCCCCTTCCCTGACCCCAGGCCGCAGGACCCCTTCTTTCGTAGGTATGTCCCTGGTCGTCTGGGTCCCCGCAGGTCTTGGAGTCACCATGAGGTGACTGTCCCCCGGCCAGCCCCCTTTTCCTCCTCTAGTTCCAGGAGAGTCTTGAGCACACACGTGGATGCCCAAAGTCTGTCTCCCACCACCCCTTCCAAATCCCTGGGGCCGTGAACGTTAGCTGACTGATTCCGGGGTCCCTGTACGGGAGCAAGGTCCGGAAGGGTGCCAGCCCCGGGTGCGCATGGCCGCTGGGTCTCGGGTGGGGCCGGAGGCGGCCAGAGCTGGACGGAGCTGGACGCTCTAAAGGGCGGGCGCCTGGGGGGATCTGGTCTAAGGGCAGGACCGACCTGCCCCCCTCCCAGCCCTTGGCGCCTAGCTGGGGAGACGTTGAGCACAAACCACGAGTGTGCAGCGGGCTTATGGGGGGTTAATGGGGGGGGCGGGAGACACAGGCCTGGAGCCGAGTCCTTGACAGCAGCCGAGGACAGGACGCGCGGGGCCGGGCTCGTGGTGGGAGGGGTCTGCGGAGGAAGTTGAGGGTGGCAGCCGCCCCTCTAGCGCCATCTGCTTGGTGGGGGCGGGGCAATTCTGGCGGTGGCGCCAGGCCCCACCCCTTCCCGAAGGTCACGCCCCTGCCTCGGCTTGGGGGTGGGGGCGCGCTACAGGTGGGCGGGAGGCCCTGCAGATACCTCAATAGGAGTAGAGAGACCACGATGGACAGTGGCTGAAGAACCTGTCCCGATAATTACCTACACTTGGCTGCTCTAAGCCCCTACGCCCCAGGTGGTTGTTAGGAAAGGAAGGGTGTTGGGGGGTCCGGCATCCCTGGGAGGCTGTGGAATGCCCCACAGGAGGGTGAGTGAGGGTTGGGCCCTCAGTGAAGGAGGGCAGAGGGGGCTGAGGGTGGACACGAGTTGGCCACGGGTGGCCTGATGTGACTCTTACATAACCATCAGCCTCTCCAAAAATCCACCTCCCAACCTGTGCTCGGAACGCATGGGCAGATGCCCACTGGGGTCACATCCTGGGTTAACTTTAGCTTCACCCTAAATTCTTTTTTTCCCTTATTGTAATGAGTGTGTGTGTGTGTGTGTATGTATAAAATGAAGGCACTCTGGTGCTGTAGTGGTTAGAGAATTTGGCTGCTAACCACATGGTCAGTGGTTCAAAACCCCCAGCCGCCCCAAGGGAGAAAAGACAAAGCAGTCGGCTTCAATGAGGACTGACAGCCTTGGAAATTCTCTGGGGCAGTTCCACTCTGTCCTCTAGGGTCTAACAAAGAAGATGACGTTGCATTTTTCACCCATAGGATTCAGTAACATTCATGACCTTCATTTCTTCGTACAACATCTCCACTATCTAGTTTCCAGATATCTCCATCACCCTTAACAGACTACTTCCTCTTTCTGCCTCCCTTCCAACCCTGCCATTGTTGTTGAGTACCATAGAGTCTATTTTGACCTATAGCTCCTCTATGAGACAGACAAAAGCTGTCCCATAGGGTTTTCCTGGCTATAATCTTTACGGAAACAGATAACCAGAATTTTCTTCTGTGGAGCAGCTGGGTGGGTTCAAACCACTGACCTTTCAGCAGCCGAGCGCTTCACCACTGCACCATTTTCTGCATGATCGAGGGTTTCAAATTCATGTCCCGAATTCAGCTTGTAGACTTGGGGTTTGCGTCAGGGGCTGGGGACGCTTTGGGATCTGAGGGGATACCTCCATGTCCCAACCCCTCCACCTTCCACCTTCCAAAGAGGGAGGTGAACGCTGACCGCTGCCTGTGTTCTGCTCTGTGCAGGTGAGCGCCCCTTCGCCTGTGACTGGCCCAGCTGCGACAAGAAATTCGCGCGCTCAGACGAGCTGGCCCGCCACCACCGCACCCACACGGGCGAAAAACGCTTCCATTGTCCGCTCTGCTCCAAGCGCTTCACCCGCAGTGACCACCTGACTAAGCACGCCCGCCGCCACCCCGACTTCCGCCCAGAACTGCTTCGGCGCCCCGGCGCCCGCAGCGCCTCGCCCAGCGACTCACTGCCCTGCAGCCTGGCAGGCAGCCCTGTGGCCAGCCCCTCGGCCAGCCCTGGCCCCGCCGGCCTGTAGAGGCCCGGCCCCTTGGCATGGAGCACCAGCAGCGCCCACGAGGGGAGGGGGCAGACAGGGACTTCCGGCCCCTGCCATCCTTCTCCCCCACGCGTCTAGAAAGTAGGCCCCGGGCTGTCGGGTTCTGGGTGGGTGGCTGGGGTCCGCTGGGAAGGACGTGATTTCTGAGTATGTAAATAGCCACGATTGTTAACTCTCCCACTATCTGTTAAACAGGAACCCCAGCTGCGTGGCCAGTAGGCCATGCTGGGGTCCCTCCTGCCACCTCTCTGCTTCTCCTGGGGGTTGAGACTCCTCCCCCAGGCCCTGGACTCCGCCCCCAGCCTGTTCCCTTCCGGTTTGGGATGAATAGTGCAAAGAGCCATAGATGAACCAGGGGTCACTGTGGGTCCCGCCCCATCCCGGGGCCCTCAACCCCACCGAAAGCCATTGGAGACGTTCAGGGAAACGGGGTGGCCCAGTTGCCCCCTCGGGTACTCAATCTCAGGTGTCCCAGGTTCTGCCCACTGTGCCCAGAAGGGGCCGCCTTGCGGACCCAGGAGGTGGCAGAGGGCGCTAGGGTTTCCATAGGGGCCCCAGGGGCTGGGAGTGGGGACAGGGAGACCCCAGGGCTGCTTCCAAAGAGCGTTGTGACTCATTTTGGGCGGGGGGGGGGGGGGGGACGGGTCCACGCAGGAGTGAATGCAGCTTTATTTATTTCCCTGTCTACCGGCATCAGGGGCTCCACTGCCCCTCTCTGGGTGTCTGTGTGTGAGATTGTTGGGGGAGGCTGCTGCCACAGGCCAGCCTCCCCACTCCCTCCGGGGTTGGGTCCCCGACTTTGGCCTTCCACAATGTCTCGTGACAATCAGTCCCAAACGTTCAGGACCCCAACAGCCATTGGGTGTAATGCACCCCTCCCCACACTGCAAGTGGGGTGTTGGGCCTGGCACAGCCGGAGCCATAGGCCCTCAAGCCATGGCTCCATCCTGCGCCCTCCCCCTGTTCCCTTAACATCCCCTCTTCCTTCTGGGTGCCTGGAAGGGCAGCCCTTTGACCACACAGTTGAGGTTCCAGAACCTTCCACGTGGACTTGGAGCAGGACTGGCCAGCTCCTGGGGAAAAGTTCGTTTTTTGGACCGGGTAGAATATTTTTTCAGGCACCAATCCCTTTCTTCTTGTTCTGGGCCCCCGCATGGGTGGTCTGCTGTCCTCAGGGGTGTGGTGTGCGTGTTGGGGGGGTGTCTCTGTGGTCTGAACATGGTGGAGGAGGGAGTTTTTGGGAAGGGTGAATGCTACAACCTCTGTGGTTGTCACCCCGTGGAGACTTACATTGGATTTCCTTTTGGACAGAGGGGCTGAGGACCCTGGACCGTTGCCCTAGACCAGAAGGGGCACAGCAGGCTCCCCACCCAAGACCCGGAAAGGGTCTGTCCCCCCGTTGGCTCTGGGAGGCTTTTGACAAGATCTCCCACTTGTTCCAGGCCTTTCCTTCCTGATTAGGGGTTGGGAGGCTTGAATGCAGGCCCTGGATGGGTCACTGCACCTGGGGGTCTGGGGGAGGGGGCAGGGGAAGCCTGTGGGAGCTGGGCTCCAGAGGTCCCACCTATGCCTTCACCTAGGGGTCCTCGCAGGGTCAGGCTGTCTCCCATCTGCACCCTCAAACCAAGCTCTCTGCGGCAGCTGATAGATGCCTTAGTCCCGGGGGGAGGGGAGGGTCTGGGACCTCATTTTCCTTTGTGACTTTGGATGTTCCCTTCGTTGGGTCCCCCCAGCAGGTGCTTGTCTGTAAGTGGTAGGATGGGGGGCCATGACCCCTAACTCTTCTTAGTCCCCCCTCCACTGTCCAGAGGCGTGGAGAATCCCCCTCACACAGGAGCTTCTTGGCATTGGGGCTGGTGAGGGTGGGAGGGAGGGCCCCCAAGGGACTTGGCTTTCCGTGGGTGGACGCCCTTCCCCCACCTGCCTGACATCATCCTTGTATTTAATTAATTAATTAATTAAACAACTCCTTTTTTAAACCCTCCCTCCTGTGTCTGTGTGGTTTTTCCCGTCGCTAGCCCACCAGCCCTTGACGCCAAGGCCATCAACTAAGGCAGTGGACTAGGGAGTCCCCTGGCCTGGCGGTGGTCTAGGCCAGGCCCCTCTAGCTGCACCCCAAAGTGCCCCCCCTACATACCCATGCACAATGAGGTGGCTGCGGAGGCGTCCCCAGCCCTGGGAAGGGGGCTGCTGGCATCAGCAATCGCTGCCGCCCAGTGTCACCCACGCCTCGCGCAGCTGCGCCCCCCGCCCGGGCTTCCCGCCCCGTTACCCGGCAACCGAGGCTTGGTGACACGGCGCCCGGGGGCGTCTGCCGCCCGCCCTCTTCCGGCGGGGGCTGGGAAAGCCGACTTTCCGCGGGCGCCACAAGGCTCCTCCCAGAAAGGACCTTCGGACCCCCACAGCCAGACTCCTGTGTCCAGTTGTCCCGGTGCTAGCAATATTCAGGACTTGCTGCGCGTCACCTTTACGCAGCTCCCGATGGGGAGGTGATCAGGGCTAGAGGGAGAAAGCTCACCGGGTGGGGGGCACTGAGAAGCTGGCGAGCGCTTTGAACCTCCTCCTAGGGTCCCAGGGGCCCCAGAGCCCGATGGCAGACCCTCCTCGTGCACCTGCCCTCCCCCCGGGGTTCGCTTTATTCCCACACCGGGAAAGTGATCGCAGCGCCATCTGGTGGCCCCCCATGCTTTGCATGCCGCTCGGTCTCCCTCGCCCCCTCCTCACCCACCCTGGGTCCCGCCCCTACCCTGGGCACGGGGCTCCACCCCCTCATCTTTACTGCGGAACAGTCTACCCTGTGCCCTACGCTCCCATTTCACCGATTTCCCCCTTCTACTGGCTCGTCCCCTAGTCCGCATCCATCCTTCCCTCCACCTCATGCTATTTCTCTTTCCAACGAAACGTCTACAGTGTGTGGTCCACACTCGCAGCTTCTTTCCCCTAGTCTCTCTTGGGCAAATTCCCATCGAGCTTTTGAGACACCCCTCATACAACGGAAACTGTCTCACTCCCATCCTTCCAGGAAGGCAGATCAACTGGCCCAATCCTCTTCTCGGGATGTCTGACAGCACCCCCCAGCAACACACACACACACACACACACACACACACACACACGGAATGTCCTGGGCCTCCAGATCCCCTTCCATACCTGGTTCTACCCCAACCCTTCATTGTCCATAGTATGTTATCTGTCGAGAACGGCAGAGGGTGCCCGTGAGCACCTGAGTCCGGTCCTCTCTCTTCTGCTCTCCAACTACATAGCTCTCTTCTCTGTTCCTCCAACTCACCAGGCACTGTCCTGCCTCAGGGCCTTTGCACAGACTGCTCTGCACCAGGAATGCTCTTCCCCCAAAGGCCCACTTGGCTCCCTCCTTACCATCTTCAAAACTCCTGCTTCCTCCACCAAAGCAGAGAGAGTCAGTTTTGTTCACGTATGTTTCTAGTCTTGTGCCTGGCTTGTGTAAGTATGTCAACCCACAGCCATGGAATCTGGTACCAAGGCCCAAAACCAACCCAGTGCCCTCCAGTCAATTCCAAGTCATAGCGCCCCTAGAGGACAGAGTAGAACTGCAACAGAGGGTTTCCAAGGTGTCAATCTTTACAGAAGCTGACTGCTTCATCGTTGTTCCGCTGGAGGGCTGGTGGGTTGGAACTGCCCACCTTTTGGTTAGCTGCTGACTGCTTTAACCACTGTGACACCAGATCCTTAGGTACGTTCTCAGGAAATATTTGTTGAACGAATAGCCGAGACCAGCTAGCACGGGTAGAGCGCTGACCATGGGCCCAGCTCAGGGACTCTCATGCCGTCTCGGGAAAACCATCAGGAGACTTGCCAAGGAGGTCAGTGATGGCATAAAGGCTTTGAGGCATGGACGGAGGGGGTCTCAAATGCCCACGGGCCAGGTGTTACAGTGGGGAGAGGAGGACTGGGAGAGGGGATAGCTGAACTTAGCAACCGCCACCAGCGGGCTCAGCATGGCCAACTGGCCATGGAGAAAGTAGGGATCACAGTTTTTGCATGCTAATGCCCAATTTTTAAACACAGGGAAGAAATTCACATCATCAAAGAAACATGTGCACACGTGTTCCTAGCAGCATAATTCACAATCAAGAGTTGGAAACAACCCAGATGTCCATCCACAGATGGACACCATGTGGTCTATCCATGCCATGGAATATTACTCAGCCATCAAGAGAAATTAAACTCTGACATATGTCACACACATCATGCTCAGTGAGAGAAACCACAAATGCCACCTAGTGACGACGCCATTAGAGAAGGAAGAGGGCAGAGAGCAGTTGTCATGGAGAACTGCAGGGACAGACGCGGCTGTCACATGGAGATGCCCAACCGGCCCTTCTCCACCATGGCTCCCCACTGCCTTCCTGGATTGAACAAGGACCCTCACAATGCCCACAGCCTAGAACACCCCACACAGTCCTTGCTGCGTTTGAGCCCATCCTTGCAGCCGCTGTGTCAACGCATCTCATTGCATCTCGTTGAGTGTCTTCCTTTTTTTTTTTTTTTTTTTGCTGATTCTTTGCTTTACTGAGCATGCTGTCCTTGTCCAGGGTCTGGTCGCTCCAGATAACGTATCCAACGTATGTGAGGTGAAACCTTACCATTGGCTTCTAAGGAGCATTCTGGCTGTACTTCCTCCAGACAGATTTGTTCTTTCTTCTGGCAGCCCATGGTGTAGTCAATATTCCTCACCAACCAACATCACAATTCAAAGGCATCAGTTCTTTAAACACAAAACCAAACTCACTGCTATCAGGTCAATTTCAACTCACAGTGATCCCTCCTTGGGTTTCCAAGGCGGTATCTCTACAGAAGTAGATTGCCCAGTCTTCCTTCTGAAGCGTGATTGGTGGGTTTGAACCACCAGTCATCTGGTTAGCAGTCAAATGCTTTAGGCACTACGCCACCAGAGTTCTTTAGTCGTCCTTATTCATTGTCCAGCTCTCACATGCCTATAAGGCAACTGAAAATACCATGGCTTAGGTCAGGAGCACTTTAGTCTTCAAAGTGACATCTTTGCATTTTAATACTTTAAAGAGAGATATACTGCCCAGTACAGTGTATCTGTCATTTGATTTATTGACTGCTGCTTCCATGGGCATTAATTGTGGATCCAAGTGAAATTAAATCTTTGTCGATTTCAATTTTTTTTTTTTTTTTGCAGTTATCATGATGTTACTTACTGATCCAACTGTAAGGATTTCTATCGTCTTTATGAAGAGGTGTAATCCATACTGAAGGCTATAGTCTTTGATCTTCATCAGTAAGTACTTCAAGTCCTCTTCACTTTCAGCAAGCAAGGTTGTGTCATGTGCATATTGTTAATGAGTCCTCCTCCGATCCTGATGCCACATTCTTCTTCATAGAGTCTAGCTTCTCGGATTATTTGCTCAGCATACAGATTGAACAAGTGTGGTGAAAAGATACAGCCCTGACACACTCCCTTACTGATTTTAAACCATGCAGTATCCCCTTCTTCTGTTTGAACAACTGCCTCTTGACTTATGTACAGATTCCTCATAGCACGTGAAGTGTTCTGGAATTCCCGTTCTTCACAATGTTATCCATTATTTGTTATGATCTACACAGTGGGATCCTTTTGTATACCCAGTAAAACACAAGTAAACATCTTTCTGGTATTCTTTGCTATCAGCCAAGGTCCATCTGACATCAGCAATGATATCCCTCATTCCACATTCTCTTCTGAATCCAGTTTGAATTTTTGGCAGTTCCCTGTCTATGTACTGCTGCAAACATTTTTTAATTACCTTCGGCAAAAGTCTACTTGCATGTGATATTAATGATACAAAAAAAAAAAAAAAAAAACCCTCCAAACTTATTGCTATCAAGTAGATTCCAACTCATAGCGACTCTCGTTGGGTTTCCAAGGCAGTAGATCTTTACAGAAGTAGATTGCCCCATCTTCCTTTCATGGAGTAGCTGATGGATTTGAACCACCAACCTTCTGGCTAGCAGTCAAATTCCTTAGGCAATATTAATGATATTGTTTGATATTTTCTGCATTTTGTTGGATCTCCTTTCTTTCCAATGGGCACAAATATGGAACTCTTCCATATTTGGTTGGCAAGTAGCTGTCTTCCAGATTTCTTGGCATAAATGAGTGAGTGCCTCCTCCATGACATCCATTTGTTGAAACATGCAATGGGTGTGCTGTCAATTCCTAGAGCCTTGTTTTTCACCAATTCCTTCAGTGCAGCTTCGACTTCTTCCTTCAATACCATCAGTTCTTGATTTGATGCTACCTCATGACATAGTTGAGTGTCAGCCGATTGTTTTTGGCACAGTGACTCTGTATTCCTGCCATCTTCCTTTGATGCTTCCTGCATTGTTCAAATCTTTTCCCATAGAATCCTTCAAGATTGCAACTTGAACCTTGAATTTTTTCTTCAGTTCTTTCAGCTTGAGAGATGCTGAGCATGTTCCTCTCTTTTGGATTTCTAACTCTAGGTCTTTGCGCATTTCATTACAATACTTTATCTTTTTGAGCCGCCCTTTGAAATCTTCTGTTCAGCTCTTTTATTTAATAACTTTTTTCCGCTTGAGTTAGGTGCTCTGCGTTCAAGAGTGAGTTTCAGAGTCTCTTCTGACATCCATTCTGGTCTTTTCTTTCTTTCCTGTCTTTTGCTTTCTTCACGTATGATGTACTTGATGCCATCAAACAACTCCTCTGGTCTCTGGTCATTAGTGTTTGTTCTGGTTCCTAGTGCCGCTCTGACAAAAATATACCACAGATGGGATGACCTTAACAAACAGGAGTTTATTCTCTTACAGTTTGGAGGCTTTAAGTCCAAGTTCAAAGTGCCAGGCTCTAGGGGCTGGGTGAAAACCCCTCAACCTTGGGGTCCAGCTCTGCCTCCTGCTCCCAGCCCACTGGAGCTAGAGGCGTTTCTTCACTCACACAGCTGCTGGATGCTGAGGCTGAGAAGCCCCAAGGATGACAAGTAAAAAGGCACAGTCCCAATGTTACCAAACCACATGGCAGGATATTAATTCAAGTTCATTGTAAGTCCCAAGGTCGGCAGAGCATGGCAGGCTGTTGAGCAACGACATGGCTACATACAAAGTCCAAGCGTGCCATAGGCTAGAGACCATTGCCAAGGCTTCTTTTTATATACAGGAAGCAAACCACAACCCAAAGGCAGCTACTCAGCTGCTTATGGTAGATCCCACCCTGGAGTTGATTGCCAGTCTCATCATGGGGAATAACTACCACCAGCTGCCCAGCCACTCAACCGGGCCCAGCCAAGTTGACACACAAACATAACCACCACAGTGTTCAATGAGTCAAATCTATTCTTCAGGTGGTGTCTAAATTCAGATGGGAGATACTCAAGATCATACTTTACCTTATGGATTTGTTTTCATTTTCTTCAGCTTCAATTTGAACTTGCATATGAGCAATTGATGGTCTGGTCCACAGTTGGCCCCTGGCCTTGTTCTGACTGATAATACTGAGCTTCTCTATTGTCTTTTTCCACAGATGTAGTCTATTCGATTCCTCTGTATTCCATCCGGTGCTGAAGTCCATGTGTATAGTCACCGTTTATGTAGTTGAAAAAGACTGGTAATGAATAAGTCATTGGTCTTGCAGAATTCTATCATGGCATCTCTGATGGCGTTTCTATCACCAAAGCCATATTTTCCAAGTACAGATCCTTTGTCTTTGTTTCCAATTTTTGCACTCCAATCACCTGTAATTATCACTGCATCTTGATTGCATGTTTGGTCAACTTCAGACTGCAGAAGTTGGTAAAAATCTTCAATTTCTTCATCTTACCACCATTAGTAGTTGGTGTGTAAATTTATATAATAACCGTATTAACTTGTCTTCCTTGTAGGCATAAGGATATTATCTTATGGCTGACAGAATTGTACTTCAGGATAGATCTTGAATTATATACAGTAGGTATCCAATAATTAGTGTTCACGGGAGTGGGTATGAAATTCCTGCTGAGGACCTGGGGAAATAGATTGCTGGCAAGAGTCCGGCTAGGGGAAATTAAGCGCTTATTGACAGCCAGCTGTCTATCAGGGCTTGGAGAGTTTCAAAGTGAGCAGGGTAACACCCACCCAGTTCAATAAAGGGCGCTTTAAGACAGTATGCTAATTAATGCAAATGACCTATAGATGGGGCCTGAGGGGTCATTTTTGGTCAGGCGCGCCCTGGACAGCTTCGCTACCACAGGGGCCCGGGGCTCAAGATGACGTTGGTGCAGCCTCGGGGGGTTGGGCGGCGGCGCCGGCGAGACTTAGAGGCATCAGGCAGGGCATCCCGTGCCCGCTATACATTATCCCAGGGTTGCTTGTCCTGGCCCGTGGATCTATGGCCCGCTTGGGTCTCTCGGGAGCAGGCATTTCTTGTCAGGCGCGCTGCGGACAGCTCCTCCCGAGGGCCCTTGCGGCGGCGTCCCGGGGGCCTTCGGG